TAGTCTAGGGGAATGTCCCCACACTCAGAGTGGTATAATAGCAAAATGAACACTGAATTTTTATTCAAACTCATATGATAAGAGGTTCTATGGCTTTTAGCCAGAATACAAGTAATTACATGTAACTCCAACTCAGCATTTTTCAAATTTAAAATCAATCTGGAAATCAAGTTTTCTCAAATAATCGAATGATGATGTCCCAACTAACGATGCCCACCTATTTACCGTTCTTTGCCACTGACCCGGTGGTGGCCATGATTGCTTCTCTTTGTTAAAATCATCAGGTAGTATATAAAGCCCCCCCTCCCTCCCTTCCTTAGTACCACGTCCCAATAAGCTTCTTGCCGAGAACATTCTGAAGAAGGAAAAAAGTAGAGTACATCAATAGAACACAATTGAGTTCTTCAGTTATTCTACTTACAAACATTAATTTATTAGATAGTGTAGGAACAAGAAGAGTGTGAGATAAGGAGAGTGAGGGTGATAATGTCACATTCAGCAACTTGTGACCCCGTATATGTCACTCCATTTGCATTGCAATGCAAGTCCTACGTGTTGGGGTTGAATTAGAAAGTTTGTGGAATCAAAAGTCATATGGTATGTTGTCCCAGAGTCAATAATTCATGCATTTCAATGTTGAGACTTAGAACTACAAAAAACTTGACCGCAGTTCCTGGTTCATTGAGAACGGAGGAAGCTGGTCATAGGAACAAGCGACAATCAAGACCGGCATGACTATCGCAACTTTACCAGTGCCTCCTCTATGAAGTGTTCTTTTTCTTTCTTAGATTGCAACTCATGCCACCATTCTGGATACCCATGTAACTGGAAACAAGTTTTCACGGTAATGTCTAGTGTTTCCACAATGTGTGCACTTTCCTCCATCGAATGGGCCTTTTGACTTCAAGACGGAGTTGTGTTTCCCAGCCACTAGTGTTGGTTGTTGACCAACTTTTGAGCCTTTAGTGGCCATAACCGCACCACTTTTTATATTCTCTACCCCAGATGTTCCCATCACACGGTCTGACGAGTGTCCTCTCTAGAACATATGGATAATCTGCTCGATCTGTGTGAAATGGCTTTCAGTTGGAGGTATGTCACTACTCACTTCGATCTTATCAATCTGTCGTCCAATCCCACATCGAGAAAGATATAAAATTCTTCCCCTATAGCAATCATTGTATTTTTTGTATATCCTTTTCCCCGCCTTCCATGGTATTAAGACGTCAAAAGTCTATCTCACGCCACAACCCTTTAGATCATTAGAATATGTTTCAATCAATCCCCCCTCTGCCGCACCCGGGTTACCTTCCGTCGGAAGTCTAAACCTGACGTACCTATCCATCAAGTAGTCGTACATGGCGTCCCTACCTCTTTAGTAGCGATTGGAAAGCGGATAAAATTCCCCACCAGTGAAGGATCAGTAAGTTGTATCAACCCTCCCTTTCACTATCGCGTTCTCAGTTTTTTGCCATTTACGGAATGCGGATTGTTTTTCGATGACGGAGGCAGGGGGGAAGATCCCATCAATATCTCCTCACCATCCCAGTTTGGCTTTGCTTGAGATGTACATCTCAGCCACCTAGGACCATAGGGCATAGTTGGAACCATCCAACTTGATGTTGATCGGTACTATTAAAGAATCAGAGATTGACGATTGTGATGTGGGTTGCGCTTTCGAGAAAGCCTCCGTCATTTTGGCCGTAAGATTTTCCCAAATGGACTCGCGGCNCGGGGAATTACTCCCAATATTATACTGGTTGTCGTTAAGCTCCTGTGCTAAAAGAACTAATTATTAGGAATGCTAGGAATCGTATGAACTCGTAATTAGGGATAGGCCTTCTTGACAAGGTAATTTAGAGAGTGGCATTAACAATGATGACTTGAATGTCGAATTCCTAAAATATATGAGAGTAGATAAGATGAAATTGACCCCCAACAACATATTCATATATATATTTCATTGAAAGTGCTTGTCTTTTGCTTTTACCATTAATCAATGCATACATGTTTATTTTCGTCTTTTGCATAGTATAATCCAATTATTTTGTTCTTAAGTCTTAGCTAATCAACGAATCACATAACTAAACTGGGCCATGAGTCCTTTGGAAGAACGATACTTGGTCTTACCGAGTTTATTACTTGAAACGATTCGGTCATACTTGCCGATTGTAAAACAAGTTTGTGACATCATATTTTGGTGATCATAAATTTGTCCATAAGGGGGCCACCACATACGGTTTTCTCCATTCTTTTGGTGCAGCTCACGTAAAAAAAATAGGAGAGGGAAGTGGAGTTGATGGCCTGTCATGCAAAGTGCTGAATTTGTTGAAGTGACATTGCTACAAAATAATAATAGCACATAGCCACTCATTGAACGTCCAAAGAGCATTTGCTAGAATAAAAGTGGGAGCCACACAGTTTTGTTGAGAGGATTTAGTTGATGGTTTCACATTGGAAGCAACACATACTGGGCTTGAAGTGAACTAATAAAGGGGACAACCATGGGCCACTTACGGTTTTCTAATGGAAAGTGAGCTTGGAAACAAAAGGGTGCAGCACGGCATTAAGGGAAATCATGCCACATCAAGATTTTTGGTTGGAAAGAAAGGTTCACGTGATGTGTCATTTTGGGAAGTGCAATGCTTATTAATTGGGAGAAGGGGCTTTTCACGTAGGTAACAAATACCAACCAGCAACACACGGACATATGGCCACCTTCTCTTGGTTTTATCAAAAGTTGATTAAGAAAATGTGTAAAGGACAACCAAGCATTCAGCATGTTTGGAATAAAAAGTGGGAGCCGAACGTGGTTTCATTTGGAAGAGCTGCACATGAAAAAAAAAGCAACTCATAATGTACATCCAACTCACATTACAACAGCTTTCTTTACACAACACCACACGGCCTTATAAGCAGCCAGCCACAACAAAATAAAAAAAGAGCCACCCATCCTCACGGTTTTATTAGCTGCCACACACACCAGGAAAAAGAAGGGAAGCAACGTCCTTGTTGGAGAAGCTTACGAGCTTCAACATCCAGCAGCTTGGAAGAAACACTTCTCGGTCCAGCAGTGAAGGAAGGAGCACGTCCAACTCACATCCAAGGGAAGTAGCCCAGGTTTTCACGGACAGCAGCTTGGAGCTAGAGATGCACACACGGAAGAGAAGACAACCAAGTGTCCAAGCTTGGGCAGCAGCTAACATCCAAGGAGCTGGAAGAAGAGAAGCCAATGGAAAGGAGAAGGCACGTTGATGATAGCACACATAGCCACCTTCACGGTCCAGCAAAGAAAAAAGAGAAGGAGGTGTGCTTAGCTTTGGAAAGGAAAACAGCAGCTGCAATGTAATGGAAGAAAGGAGGTGCTCACGGTGATTTTTGTTTTAGAAGAAAGAATACACGTTAGTCTTGATTTAATTTGATGGAGAGTAGAGCTGGAATGTGGAAGCAAAGGGAGATACGACTGGAAGGAAATTCAAATTCATTCATTGGCAGCAAGTGAAGAAAACGGAGACTTGTGGAGGGCCCCACCCTATTTCTTTGGCACATCTAGGAGTAGAAGAAAGTCTGCAACCTACAGGGACAGAAGACAAAACTCAACTGGAAACATGGAGGCAGCAGACTAGGCTAGCAAACTACCTACGGAGACTTTGTCCAGAGAAGCTACGGGAGTTGCTCAGAGAATTTGGCTATAAAAAGGAGGCAGCATGCAGAGAAAAACTTGTTAGATTTTAGGAGTAGAGTTAGGAGTGCAATTTACGTTCTGGTTTTCTCCTCCCCTCTGGGGGAGGTTTTGTGTTTGATTCAATTTCCAGTTTCCAGAATTTCAGTTTTAAGGATTGAATGTTAATTGTAATTTCATGCTGCAATTTCCAATTGATGTTGTTGGATTTGATTTTTATTTACGCACTACATCCGTTTTCACGTTTAAGATTTTGAATGCAATTATTTTCAGTTCATGAATTTCAGATTTGCAATTTTAATTGTCAAAATTTCGTTTTTACCGTTTTCGGAATTTTACTGCTTAATCTTGTTTTTACAGTCAATTAATTTTACTGCTTTCCGTATTTTTCTGCACAACAACCTTTCAAACCCCCCCCCCCCTTCGTGTTTAATCTGAGACTGAACCACCCAAATTGGTCCTTGAGAGACGACCTAGGAGTCACTTCCTAGTTATACTGCATTATTTTCGTGCAATCAACTTTTGCGAGAGGCGCGACCCTCTCGTCAGTAACAACATTTCCCTCATGGTCTTGGTCAACCCCGTACTCTTCACTTGTATCAGTTTCTCTTTTCTTGTCCCTATTGGTTGAATTTTGTCGTCCATATGAGAGTTTTTTTGGCTTTCTTGATGTATAGCAAACTATCTTTCAGCACATACCTACCCATTTTTACCTTTTTCTTTCCTTTCATGATAGATTTCTCGCTTCTTTCTAAGCCTTTTATGTGAATCTTGATTTCCTATAACATTTCTTTTATTTCTTCGATATTTCTTCTACATTCAACCACACTCATTTTCTGTTCACTAGCCCTCCGTTCCAAGATATTGTCTCTTCCTTCCATGCTTCCACCCTTTCTTGATCACTTCTTGATCAATAGAGACCAATTTGATAGACTTCTTTGGTCAAGAAATTTATCTATCACTCAAAACAGAACACACTCACTCAGTAAATAACTAGGAACAAAACTGTATTATTAGTGTAACCAAAGAATACAAAATTAAGAGAGCACTCTCTACTCCAAGGTTTCCCTTCACAAAGAATCAAAGCTCAATCTACAAAATTATTCAAAAATCCCCTGACACATGACCTCCCTACCTTTTTATAAAGGTCCCCCAACCAACTAATTCCTAACCTGTTTTCTTCTTTTTTGTACAAGTTATATCCTATCACATTATATCTTATTATTATACAATCAAGGTTAATGCAAGAAAGGTTCAAGGTTAATGCAAGAAAGGTTCAATTAAACCATATAAAAATTCATCAATAAAATTATGGGAGTGTACTAAGCTTACTAGTAATTAGAATCTTATGCATATAGGTACTAAATTCTAACAAAAAGATCTGGAACAGAGATACAAACAAAAAATTTACATCTCAACTATCTTGTATGTACTCATACAAGGGCCATCAAAAGTGTACCATCTCAAGCCCTGCATAATTTTATCAAACATAATAATACCAAAACAAATTCTATTGGCTTTCATAAAGAATCGTTGTTCAGCAATGTCATTGACTTGTATTGCTCCATATTGGACATGTGGCGGAGGCGAGGGAAGGCAAGCATTAAATGACAGTAAATCTTGCTAGTATGATACCTACTAGACATCAAGCCCATAGTCTTCTCCAAAATATTTGTCAACTAGAGTATTTGCCATAGTCCTCAGATCTTCATTTTCATGAAACTGAAATCTTTCCATGGCTTCAATCCCATCTTCTTGCTCTACAAGCTTTGGGCCCTCGCCATTTGGCATCCCGCTCAGGACCTACGAACACAAGAAATCATAATCAACTAGCGGTTTAAATCTTAAAACTTGGTATGCTCTTGGTTGAGGTTTGATTTTGTCATGATTACACAAACCAATAGGCCTGATTTACTGACTAAACCATGTAATAGGCGTGTTCTAATCAAAATATATAGAAAGTGATTATTTAGACAACCATTGAAATCTCTTACGAGCTCTGTGAACTGAAGTCCAAGCCTTGCAGCTTCAATATCAGCAGATCTAATCAAATCAATAAAACCTGGCAAGCATCCTTTTTCAACAAGTGAAACCATGTGCTCCAGGATCAAACTTGGCTTGCCATCACCTTTAGTCGGGGCAACACAAAGGTTGCCTAATACATAAGCCACTTCTTTTCTTATATCAAATGGAGCGGCAGAAAGAAGTTCCAATAGCAAAGGCACTGCTTCACTAGAATATATCAACTGTTTGTGCTCAACAAGACCAGCAGCTATATTAGACAGCACCCAGGCTGCTTCCTGCATATATTATGAAGCTTCTCTTGATTAATCCAAAGGTAGATTCAAAAAATAAAAATTAAATTTTGTACCTTCTTTAAGACCCTGTTTTGACAGTTCAGACATTTTACAAGAACTTCTATTGCATTACCTGAAAATTCCATTAAAATACAGATGTGAGAATATCATCCATACTGTTTGACCAAAATGAATGCATTCATCTTAGCAAAAAAAGGAAAATTTACTAGCCTGTAATTTCACGTCCAGGAATGAGAACCGCATTAATTGCTTGGGAATCGCCAGCAATAAGATTACCTAAACTACGCAAAATCTAGAAGAATTTCCATTTATTATTAGAAACAACAGATCAATGAGAATAACATAAGCATTGTAACTTGTGTGTATTATTGATATATGCTAACCACAATAAAAAGTCACAGATGCCAAGAGACACACTTTTGCAACAACTGAACAAAAAAACATAATGCAGTAGAGATCATTACCGGAATCATTAATGGCAAACTGTTTGATGTTGATAATTTATTTACAAGTAATTCAAGTACATCACTCTTCACCAGCTTGTAGGTAGCTATATTTGAAAGGGCAGACAAATAAACAACCACCCATGCTACTTCAGTGGCTAACTCATCATCCCTGAGGTGAAAAAACTATTATTAAGACAATAATCAGGACAGCTTCACAGGGTATGTATTCAATGAGTAGAAGAACTTAACACTTAAAGAAATAAGTTTTTCACAAGGTCATAATGTAAGAACTGAGAATTTATAAAGAAAATTGAAGAAAGATAGGTGTATGCACTGGATTGGACCGATCGGTTTTGTAAGTGGTATATAAATGAAAGTTTCAAATTTCGTTTCATTCTCTGCATGCACTCTCTCCAAAATTTTAATCTCCTCTTTTCTCCTCCTTCTCTCTAATAATCTCTCATCTTACATCATCTTATTTACAATCAGACCAAGCTTAAAGTAATTTTGGAGTCAAAAACATCCTTTTCCACCGATCAAAGTCTTGTTTAGAGTTGGTAAGTCTCGATTCCTTGATCTTCTGTGAAATTACAAAACTTTTTGACACATGCAAGTCAAGTTTCTGGTTGCATGTGTTCATCAACTTCCTCTTCCCATTTCTGATCATATATTTGGTCTTTTGGTGGGTCTATTCTTATCAATCAGTGAATTTTAGGTTCTTAGGAATTTCTGGTGGTGAGCGAATTTTGCTTGAGAGTTTGGTTCGGTCAAAGAGGTAAGGGAAGCTAGTTAATTTAATTGCTTGGTTTATGATGCATGAAAATGTTGTTTGATGGTGTTGCATGTGTGTGAAACTGAATGATTGTGTGTTTGATATTGTTATTGAAGACTATTAAGTGTTGAATTCATGTTGATTGTGATATCGCATACTTTTGGTTCAATGGCCGAGTGAATTATGAGGAAGTGTGATGGTGAAATTGGGGAATTTGTGTTCGGTGTGAGTTTGGTTTGTATAGAAAATCTGGGCAAGTTATTTAGGACTCGTTGAGATCCTTAAGTCACCCAAAATTGTACTAAAACAGAGAAATCTGGTTCTCGGTCTTTGAGTTCACGAGAATTGACTCTCAAATCTGAGATGAAACTCTTTAAATAATGTGAGGAATGTTTAGATGTTCTTAAAGAAGTGTATAGGTCTATATAATATAATTTGGAAGGATTAGAAGTTGGGAAGAATGAAGGAAATTGATAAAGATTGGTGTTGATCATAATTTTGCAGTCATTCTGCAGAATTATGTAGTTTGCTGAGGGTCCTTCGTTGACCGTTCGACTTTCTTCTTGTATACGGTCTTAACTGAGTTCTACTTTTGTAGAGCTTTTCAGTTAAAGACCAATCCGTCTTGTACTAGTATTATGTTTAGTCGTAGCGATCGGTCTTAGTGGGGTGTGTGGTTTCTTGGTAGCGCTCCATCTTGTACCAGTGCTCGGTGTCGTACTTGCATTCAGTCTTAAATGCGTTCGGCCTCACACGGGCCTTACCAGTTAATGACCATTCAATTATGTGTTGGTATTCGGTTTCGTATACCGTTCAGTCATTGTTAGGATACGGGGTGGCAGAGTATAATGGTTAATGGGTTTAGGATAGAAGTAAAGAGCGGGAAAGTTTATTAGGCTGTTAGGGGGAGAGAGAGTATAAATAAGCCTTTTGGTAATTCTGTGAAGGGAGTCATTTTTATGAGTATAGACAGGTCTTGAACCTTATGAGGGGGATTAGGCCTCCGCTAGGGCTAAGAGGGGGATTAGGCCTCCATTAGCGCTATATGTGTACTTTCTTTGAATATCAATACAGATACCCATTCTTTTTACAGTGTTGATTCTTGTTTGTGTGTGTGATTGGGTTGTCTTAGTAAGGTTTCTAACTCAGGAACCTAACCGTCACACTGTTGTAGCGTTTGGTCCTACACTAGAGTTCGATCCCTTAGTGGGGCTCGATATTCTTTTAGAAATCGGTCTACATTGTTACTCGGTTTCGTTGGGGTGTTTGGTTAATATTGGTTCTTGGCCTTGTTTTAGAATAGGAATATTATAGTATTCGATCTTACTTCTAGTAGTCGGTCAGTAATAGTGTTTGGCCACTTCTTCAACATTATCTAGTATG